AAGCTGGCGCGTCGGGTCCGAGGCGCTGGTCTTGCGGCCAGCGGTGTCTGACCAGTTGGCCTTGGTCAACACCGCCATGGGCTCAGCGGTTCGGGCTGGCCAGCAGGGGCAGCCCGCTAGCCAGCTGGTTTGACGGGGCGCCGGAGATGGAAGCGGCGATGCGGCGTCGAGCTGACGCTGCCTGCGCCGAGTCGCCAGATGGGCCAGGCCGAGCGGCCCATCGCCTCATCGAGCAGAAGAAGGATGAGGCGGCGGCCGTCGAGGAGGCCGACGACCCCAGGCACCTCCCCCAGGTCGGCGCGGCGGCGGCGGACGCCTTCCTGGAAGAGTGGCTCGATCTGCGGGTCGAGCCGTCAAAGGAGTCGGAGGAGGAGGCCGGCCAGTGGCAGGTAACCACTGGCCTGTCGGCCACCACCACCGACCAGGTGCGCGAGGTGGCCAGGAGGTCCCCTCGCCAAACGGGCCCTGGCCGGGACAACTTCCACCCGCGGGCCCTGCTCTACCTCAGCGGGGCGCTGCTCCAGAGGTTCGCGGACATCCTTAACCGCTGGGAGGAGCGCCCCGTCATGCGCCTCCGCAGCTCGGCCGACAGCTTATTGGTCTCCTCTGCGCGCGGGGGCGGGTCGGGTCTCGCGCGCGCCAAGCCGAGGCGCGCCGCTGGGAGCCGAGCGCCGGCCAGGCCTTCTGTTGGGGCAAGTCTGGGGGCACGGCGGCGGACAGGGCAGCCCATGTACGCGACCTCCTCGCGGTGCGCGCCCGGCGCCACAGCGCGGCCAGCGGCTCGGTCTTTTTCAACTTGTTTCGTTTTGTATGGAAATGCCCCGCAGACGGCGATGAAGCAGGTAGCTTGTCACTTCGACTTCGACCTTGGCCTTGTCCGGTCGCTGCGCGCGCTCTGCCGCGGGCCGCGCCGAGTCCGTTGGTTTTCGCGCGCGACTCGGGCCATCAGGACGAATGGCGCGGCGGCGGCGGGGCGCCCCTGCGCTGCGGGGGCCGTGTGCGCGTTGAAGCAAGCGGTGCTCGACGCGCCCGGCTGTCGACCCAGCTTTTTGGCCAGCGATCTCAAGCTGCGCGACGCAGGCGGCCCGCGCACTGCGGCGGCGGCTCAGCTGATCAAGGCAGTGAATTTGATTTTGACAGCCAAGCAGCAGCTCGGGCTTCTTGTCAACACGTCCAACTCTTACTTTTTGGTTGCAGACGACGAGCTGCTCGACCTTCTCCTCGATGACCCCGAGAGGCCCCTCAATGCGTCGATGGTTGCATGGCTCTCCTCGGGACCTCGGGGGGGGCGCAGTAGACGGCGCGCGCCATGAGATCCCGATCCAGGCCGCTCGGCTCTCTGGGGCCCGCGCTGCTGCCGGCTGGCTTCGGAGGCTGGGCGGCGGCAAAAATGCGCTTCAGGCGTCCAGGGCTGGCCCCGCGACCAAAGCTGTTCGGGGGGGGCCATCCCGAGGGGCCAGCGATTCGGCGATGAGAGAGCTGAGGGTTGCAGCGGCCTGCTGCTTCTGACCTGCACAGCCGACCATGAAATCATCAGTATGCGCAGAACGTAAGGGGCTTCTGGCAACCCGCTGATGGACGCTTCTCGAGAAAAGCTGTCACATGCAAACGAGCAAGCTGGGCTTGAGCAGATACGTCTGGGGCGCGGAAAGGGCATGGCTTGCACAGGCAAAGGCTGCGTTGTTTTAGATGTGATTGTGGCTGTATCCTGAGAATTGATCAACACTTCGGACTACAAGGCATCGGACGTGAATCCGGCATTGGTGGGACGGCCGGTTGTGTGCAGCATCCAGGCATCAACGTTGAACTAATCTTGAGCACGCTGCAAAGACACGGAGAGCAAGCGGTTCAATTTTTCCACAGTTACTTTTCGTAGCATACACACGGTGGTATGTATGCGGGCAGTGCTTCTGTCACCAACGATGGAGTTCACATAGTTTCGCAGAAGTGGTACGGTCAGCGTGAGGCAAGCCACGTCGGATACGCCACGGCGGACATGGAGGCTCCATCGGGCTTCTTAGAGTTTTAGAATGCGATGAAAATGAATTTGAGGAGCTCGTTCGCGGATTACACACATTACTGATGTTAGGAAATGTTGCGATTGATTTAGTTAGAACATAGCAGGCTGCTGTTACCAGCGAATAGGTATATGCCATGCGTAACTTGTAAGAGGCGCTTTGCATATTTGAGTTTGTGTTAACGTACTCGATGTTTTTATCTGCACATCGCATGCGTATGTACATGTACGTTTCCTCCGCGAGAATTGGGAGGCTCCCCATTGTCCGTACACTGACAATCATTCGTGCCAATTCCAGCAGCCTTGAAAAGCCACCCATCGAGGATATGGGGGGGGTGGAGGCCCAACGGTAGCAGAGGTGGCCGACGACACCCGAGATGTTCCACCATGGAAGTATTCGGTAGTGTTGGGAGCACGCTCTTTTATCCGGAAAAAATCGGCTGTACCGTCGCAGCGCTTGATGTGCCGCACATTTTGGTCGACCTTGCCGTGCCATGAGGGCAGCAGCTGTCACCGGCTTCTCGTCAGGACGCCGCGGTGGAGGCGGAGGTGGAGGGCACGTGTCACCTGCGGTTGCGGAGGCGGCGGAGGACGCTTAAGTTCCTCGACGCGGGCGGGCATTATTTGGGAGTGTTGACTGCACGTTCCGTTTCCCAGCAAGAAAACACAACATCGTCGTAAAGCCGGATGCGCCATGCTTATAAGTTTGGGCCTCCGACTCATTGAGTCACCTTGACGGGTGGACGGCACCGTTGGGACGCCCAGTTCTAGTGGTCGGGGGGGCTCGTTTCTTTGCGAAGGTAGCGGGGGAGGAAGATCGCACCTTGACTTCGCAGAGGGTTGTTCACACTGCTTGGCCGCTGCGTAGCCTGGCACTGGTCACATTGCCTCAATCGGAATACCACCTGGAAGCGCATGCAATCGTTCCAGCCATGTCTATTGAGTAGGCTCCTTCTATCCGCCGGCACTTTCAAGGAGGACTAGAGAAATAGCGCGGGTACATTGGCCCGTACCGCGACTAAAACCAGCTGCGCATGGCACCACGCAGGCGCCGAATTGCCCTCGGCCCTGAGGAGGAGGAGGAGGAGGAGGAGGAAGCGGAGGATTGGGATGTAGGCCTGGTCGGAGGAGGCACGAGATAGCGGACAGCTCCACTCGAGTACCGATCGCCAGCCAAGCACACGCGTGTTGCATTGACTCTCGTCGAGGGAGTAGGAGCATTTGTGAAACGGGTCCAGCCCAGGCTGGAACTGCCCGTCCGCCGAGTATGCCGCATCCCAGAGATTTTCAATCGATGGCGTTTCCATGGCGCCTCGACGTGCCCTTGGACGACCCCCAGATCGCGCCGAAGTCTGATGTCCAGATGCTTCTATAAGGGCACAGATTGAGGAGGCGGGTTTGAGGGGGGGCGAGGTGGAGGGTCTGAGAACGCAGTCCAACCCAGACTGAATTGCCATGTGATTATTGCCTCTGTGTGTGCTCCGCAGGTGACGTCTCGAGGGCGGCAAGGCAGGACATAGATAATTCGTCCTTGTGCCACGTACCCAATGATGTGGATAGAGACGAGTACACAGTATCCTGGAGTTTCTTCAATCGCCGACTTCTTGCCATGGTGCTTCGCTTCGCTTTGGGCCGACCCCCAGATCGCGCTGAAGTCTGGGGAGGGGAGGTGGAGGTGGGGTGGATGATTTGTTTGTGGTTGGGCGGCTTCGTCGGAGGCGGAATGCGATAGCGGACAGCCCCACTCGAGGGCCGACCGCTAGCCAGGCACATGAATGTTGCACTGACTCTCACTGGGGGCCTTGAAGTTGAAATTGGGCTGAGATGGAGGGGGAGGATCGGATTTCATTTGAATGTGTCTCCATGTGGCTGGCAGCCGCGTGCTCTTTCAAGCATTTAGATTCGGCGAGGTCTTACAGGTGATTGTATGAGATATTGGGAGGTGGGGTGTCATGGCGGCGGGTGCGACACAAGACCTTCGTCGAGGGCACCCTCCTGGATATCTCTCAGATCCTAGGGGGTCATTGCGTTACCTGGCCATGCAGCATACTCTGGATGTTCTATTCATTTTTCTAGTTGTCCCGGATTCGCCCCTCTACTTTCTTATTGTTGCTCGGTTTGGCTTGCCTCTTTGCATTGCCGTTCTCTTGTCACACCCGAGAAACACTATCGCCATCGCTGCTGAAGTCCGCCGAGCTTGAAAAAGAGGAGGGTCATTCGAGGTGGCCGACAGGAGGGATCATAAAGGAGGGAGGATAAATGGAAGGAAGGGGGTTAGAGGGACGAGGGACGAGGGAGGGGCGAGGAGGGCGGAGATAGTACTGAACGGGGGAGGTGAAAGATGGGGAGGAATGATGGTACGCTTCCACAGTGCGCTCTCTGGGCGTGTCCCAGGCAGCCCGAACTCAACCGGGCCGCAACAGGGGCGGTAGGATGCGGGTGTCAAGCTGTGCCTTCCCGAGGTATCATTGGTACCCATCCTGTTCTTCTGTTTACCACGGTGTTCATGATGGTTGGCCGCTTGGGCGTCGGGGCTGTTATGCACATGCCAGTCTCATACGCGATTCCTTCAGGCGAAGGCTCACTGCGTGGTCTTCCCTGCTGCAAATCTGCGCGCATGGCGTGTGTCACTTCGCTCGGCGAGCATTTGTTTCACACTTCGGTCTTAGGATCGGCACAGTCGTTGTGATGTCCGTTCAGCTGTGGGGAAAGACATGTTTCATGATACCCTTTCAGACCGTCAGAACATATTGACCGCACACGTCGGACGTGAGTTTTATATCAAGGTTTGCTCTCGAGGGTTTGCTCCGCGCCAATCCAGTCCGCGACTTGGCTGGCAGGTTCGGGTCATGGCTGCGGTAATTTGTTTTTCTGCGCGTACCGATCCATGACCAATGCGAAGAGGATGCTGAAGAGGGACGCCTGCGTGTCTGGGATCCCTTGCCCTCGGTGCCGGCTGACACTGGCGCTGTCATGAGCGCAGGCCCGACAATTGCAGATGTTGCAGAGCGACCTCGAGAGCGATGAGGTCTCGAAGCCGGTCCCACGGCGGACGAAGCAGAGCATTTTTGAGTTGACCAGGAAGACCGTCGCAGCCGAGTTACAGGAGGACCAGGCGGGCGGCGGAGGGTCGAATACGTAAAGGATACATTAACATAATATGTTGGAGGTCAGCGCGGATATCTTGCACAGGTGTCAGGCCACAGTCCACACACACACACACACACACACACACGCACGCACGCACGCACACACACACACACCCTTCCCTCGCGAAACGCGCAAGGGGCGGCGCAAGTGGCGTTGCCAGGGGTGTCCAGCGCCGGTCCAAGAGGTCCGCGCGGACCTCCGAAAGTTGACGTTCTTCATGCCGTGTTTTATTTCCCTGGATCCACATTTTGAGTGGGGCTCTCGTTTTTCTCTCCCACCCGCGTCGCCGCCACCGCGTTTCTCCCCCTCCGCCCTCCTCCCTCTCCTCATCACCCGAACCACGCCCGCAGGGCGTGGCAGGCATGGCATTTCCTCGACACCGGGGGGGGGTGCGTAGAGGGTGGGGCCCCCACCTGCGCCACACTAGCAGGGTGTGTGTGGCGGGCGTTGCATTTCTTTGGGGGGTTCTAGCCGCGCCCGGCTCGCAGGGCGTGGCAGTCGTGGCATCCCCTCGGCTCCAGAAGGGGTGCGCAGACGGTGGGGTCCATATCCGCGCCAGTCTTGCAGGGCGTGGCAGGCGTGGCATTTCTTTCGCGACAGTTTTGCAGGGCGTACAGGCGTGGCATTTCCTCGGCTCCAGAGGGGATGCGCAGGGGGGGGTGCGAGGGATTGGTTGCGGGCTCTATTCGCGTCAGGCTCCCAGAGCGTGGCAGGCGCAGCACTTCCTCGGCACCAGAGTGGATTCGCTTGGGGTGGCCCCCTTGTCGGATTCGCAATGTAATGCGCACGTGTATCAGCACACCAAACATAAATTTGAGAATGTGGAGTTCCTCAGAAGCGTAATGCTCAGGCGTTCTCGCTCCTCTGAAGGAGGGAGGAGGGGAGCACGAGTGAGGAGCGAGGGAAGGAGGATGAGGCGGAGGAGGAGGAAGAGAAGTCCTCCGAGGGCATCGAGGCTCGTTCGCTCGACAATGTCCGCAGCTCGAATCTCGAAGAAGGAGTCCTGCCTCCTCGTCCCTCGTTTCCGTCGGGGCGCCCGCTCCCCGCTTCCGCCCTGGCTTGCGCGTTATAGGATGTGCCTCGACCGTGGGGTGGTAGGGATGAGGCGGGCGGCAAGGGGAGCGTGGAGCGGCACGGAGGGGTACAGTCGAAGCCGAAGGTAGGCATGAGTAATGTTTCCAAGGGTACCCTTTGCATCCTTGCTCCTTCGGTCCATCCTTCACCACTTTCGATTGCCAGCCCCGCTCAAGAATTCTCGACGGTTGCTTCCAAGGGGCTTGCATCCTTATGTTGCATCCTTACTATTAGTTTTGGCTGTAGGCGGGGGGGAGGAGGGGAGGGGGAGGCAAATCACATCAAAGTCAGTTCACGTTTGCATATTGTTCTCGCTGTGGTACCGTGCTGCTCCTCAGCACAGGGGGGGAGGCTGGCAGCAGTCTGTGGGCTCGGGGGGGGTCAGGAGAGAAGAGGGGGTAAGGGCGAGGGGAGGGGGGAAAGAGGAGGGAGGAGGCGTGGGAAGGGGGAATGAGTGGGAGGTGGGGAGGAGGCGGAGGAGGAGGAGGAGGAAGAGGACCAGAGTAACATCAATATGATTATGCAAAACACTCTCTGCCGTCCCAAGTTCCCTCCTCATAAGTCCCTGCAAGTCCTTGCATCCTATGCGGTGAGTGATCAGAAGCGTTCGAAGGTATGATCATGCATTTCCAATTAGGCTTCCAGCGAGACCCCCGTTTTGACAAGGACCGCCCCATCTGCGCGATCATTGCACCGGTGTTCTGTTACATTCGTGCCCATAAGCGCCGAGGGAGTTCCTAACCAACACCCATCCGAATCTGGAAAGAGGAGCCGCCCTCCATCACTGCAGCTGTTGCGTCTGTTCACGTTTGTGAGCCCTTCAAAGTACAATATTTTCCAGGGAACGTCAAATTCCATTCACCGGTGCAGCCGTTGCATATGCTCATTTTTCTGTTTTGATCGAAGCCGTAAGCGAAAGCCGCACTTTGAAAAGGAGCCGCCCTCCATCTTTGAAACTGCTGCAAGCTTTTAAGGCGAATGTTCGCGGCGCTAATGCGAGAAGCCAAGTTTGGAAAAGAAGCGTCTTCCACCATTGAAGTCTTTGAAAAAATATCAGGCGAATGTGCGCGTCGTTGAGGCGAGAACTCTTTCCTGAGAACATTTACCCCCTACACTTGAAACGGGTGTATTTGCCGCCGGGAGTTCCATTTTTAATTTCGCTGGCCTCCACCATTGGAGCTGCTGTGAGCTTCGAACACGAATGCGCGCAGTGCTCAGGCGGGAGCTAGATTTTCAAAACCACCCCCCACCATCCGTGAAAGTGATGCACATATTATGGTGAATGTGCGCGGCCCTGAGGCGAAAGCTCCATTTGGAAAATGACCTTCCTCTTTCCATGCGGTTATTGCAAATGTGCAAAGCTTCGCGTATCCCCGCCAGACTGGATTACTTGGCGCTCGACTTTCAATCGCTTTGGTCACCTTGGTGGTTTCTCGCCCATCCTACACCAGTGTCCTCATCGACATCCTCGCGGGCGTGCTCGCGGTACCTGTGTGATACAACCCGCGCCATTTTGGTTGCGCTTCGCTCTGCTCCGCTCTGTGGCTTTTTCCTTCGCTACGGCGCGGCCCGCCCTGGCGTGCTCGGACGCGCCCGCGTGCCAAAAATCCCACCAACCCATTCAAAAACAATCGCCAGCGGAGTGGCCCCGATCAGGAATGTGTAACAGCACGCAGTGGGACAACAAGAGGACAGCCATTACCTTTTGCAAAGAGAAAAAAACGTATCTAGGAGTTTGTCTGGGGCGTTTGGGGAATGTTGGGGGGTGTTAGTGGGCGTCTGGAGGGGGTAGGGGGTTGGGGGTATCTTCGGGCCCTCGTGGTCATCTTGAAGGCCATGTGGCTGTTCTTGTAAAAATTGGGGAAGTAACGCATGTTTCCCCCCCCCTCCCTTCGAGTGACAAAGGAGGCGGCGCAAAATACGCCCGCCCCGGTCGGGATCCGAAAATGTGCATTGTGGGCCCCTCTTGGGGCGCTCTTGGGCGCTCTTGGGGCTGTCTTGGTCTCCGCGTTGTGCGCCCATTGGGCCATGTGTGTGCCGTTTTGGGGCCCCCTGGGTCCATCTCGGAGCAATCTCCAGGCCCCAGGGGCCCCACATTGAACACTATCCTGGCGAAGGACCCAACCATATGCAGATGTGAGTACCGCAGTTGTGGGTATCTTCTTCGGCGGTGCCCACGAGCCGTATGAGGGGCGTGCCGAAATGTGGCGGGCTCCACAACACGAAGGGAAACGATTGGTCGAATTCCGAGAGACTGAACGCGGGTGAATTTGAGCGCGAGTGAGTCTAAGTGTGAATGAGCCTGCGCGCGAGCGAATATATATACATATATATATATAGCGAATATATATATATATATATATGCACGAATGCGATCATGGCTACTCCTCGTGTAAATGTATATGAATGTGAATAGTTCGGGTACGCCTGTGTGTGCACGCCGCAGAAAAAGCTTCCGCGGGAACCCCGGCGGCAGCGCCCGCATGCCGCGACGCCCATGTCGGCACGCCCCTCACGAGGATCGCGCCCGCTTCCTTCCCTTTTTTTCCTCCCTCTTTGCCTGCGCACTCCAAAGTCCAAAGCTGCGGGCGCAGCGCGGCGCGGAGTCCCCGAGACGCGCGCCGGTCGCCCCGGAAGTGTCACAGCGACGCGCGCGGGTCGTCCGCTGCGCGGAGCAAGGAGAGCTAGCTAGCTAGCTAGCTAGCTAGCTAGCTAGCTAGCTAGCTAGCTAGCTAGCTGGCTGGCTGATAGGGGGCAAGGTTCTGACCGCTGGGCAGAGCGACGACGGGCGAGCGAGGCGCAGGGAAGAACGCAGCACGGAGTTCCCGCGACACGCGCTGGTCGCCCCGGGTGGGTCCCAACGACTCGCGCGGGTCGTCCGCGGCGCGAAGCAAAAACAATTAGTTGGGTAGTCAAGAAAGGGCGCGGTTCGGGGGGGGGGGGGGGGCGCTCCTCAGGTCAGGCCTCGCGGATAAACTCGGTGAAGGCGAGCTCTTTGTCGAGGGCCGTCGCCTCCCTCCTGCACCGCTTCGTGCGCGCCGTAAACTGCTCCAGCTGCTTCCGCAAGCCCTCCGGCGGCCCTGCCAGGAAGAACTCGATGCGCGGCGCTCGCATGAGCAGGAGGTCATAGTGGCGCGTGGCGCGCGATAACAGCACATAGAGTTCCAGCCGCCAGTCGTCGTCCTCCTTCTTGCCGTTCCCGACCTCGTGGCGGCCGCAGTCCAGGATCACGCCTGGGCGACGTCGGCCGAGGGGGCAGCGCGCGGGACAGCCGACGGCCCAGGGCGAGAGCCCACAGGACCGAGAGATGGTCCCGCTGCAGACCGCTCGCGCCCAGTAGGTTCGGGCCTTCGGTGGAGCTCCCTATGGAGCCACGAAACATGTGAGGCGTGTGCCGAAATGGGCGTGGGGGACGCATGCGGGCGGTTGCACTGGGGCCTTCGGTGGAAATCCATATGGGACCACGCAACGTGTGAGGGGTGTGCCGAATCGTGCGT